CCGTCGAATGTACCCCTGCCGCAGCCGGCCATGTCCCTGCCCCCTCAACCGGGCCCAGCCGTCGGCGCTTCTGCAGCTCAGCAGCCCCAGCAGTTCGCCTATCCCCAGCCTCAGATACCGCCTGGGAATTTGCTGCCAGTCCAGCCCGCCGGCCAGAATGAATACCTGCAGCAGCACGTGGCCAGCTTGCAACCGCCAAGCCCCGCGCAGTCCTCGTCTACCAGCGCCGGAGCGAGCCCCGCCACGGCGGCCAGCCTTCCCGTTGGCACTGGCCAGAATGCCCCTTCGGTGGGCGCGCAGATATTGGGTGCGTCTTCCCAGCCCGGTGAAGCCGTGGCCCCGGGACCCGGATCAACCCAAGGCGGGCAGGCGGCGCCTTGTCAGCCAGGTGGACTGCCCCAGGCTGCTGTAGGAGGTGTGGTGCCGCCGTGCATAGGTCCTACCGGGGCTGGGCAGCCCCAGTCCGTGCCTCCACCGCAGATGGGTGGCAGTGGTCAGATGTCAGCCGTGCCTGGTGGCCCTCACGCCGTGGTGCCCGGAGTTCCAAACGTGCCTGCAGCCGTGCCCGCTCCAAGCGTGCCTAGTGTATCTACCACTTCTGTTACTATGCCAAATGTACCCGCACCTCTGGCTCAATCGCAGCAGCTGGGCAGCCATACGCCAGTCAGCAGGAGCAGCAGCATAATCCAGCACGTCGGGGTGCCCTTAGCTCAAGGCACGCACAGTGCACCAACAAGTATACCACAGTCTGACCTAAGCCAGTTTCAGACTCAGACACAGCCTTTAGTCGGGCAAGTTGACGATACTAGAAGAAAATCAGAACCCCTACCTCAACCACCACTTTCTCTCATTGCTGAAAATAAGCCTGTTGTGAAGCCTCCTGTTGCAGATACCCTGGCAAACCCTCTTCAGTTAACACCAATGAACAGTCTGGCCACCTCTGTATTCAGCATAGCTATTCCTGTTGATGGTGATGAAGACAGGTATGGCAGTCTTTATTTTAAACATTTGATAAGAGTACTTTGCCAAATTTGGTAATTTAATGACAGTTTAGGAAGATTTCTTTTTCCACTTGAGGTTCTTAGCATTTTAAATATATAATTTGTTTTTAGTGAAGTTGACTTAGATTACTGATGTAAAAGTTGTAATGGAAGAATTGGTCTTGTCACAATTGTTTAAAAGCACTGATTAAGGATGCAACATTGTTTATTCAAAAATATGGATTTTAGCTTAGTCCTAAAGTTTAAAGGTGGTAGCTAATAGGTTATGCCCCCAACAGACTGACCCTTTTTAGATATCAGTCATACTTTAGCATATAAAGTAGAGCATTTTATCAGCTTGAGTTTTGAAACTAAGAAATAAAGTTATATACAACCTTTCCATTCTGGAAAATGAAAAGACCCTCTAGTTAAAGGGGAAAATAAAGGAAGAAATAAGAGAAAGAATAAAAGATCCATTTAAGGAATTTCCTCCAGTGTATCTGGAAAGGCTGAAGAGATAATGGTGAGGTGTCAAAACAGGATTATACTTCAGCCTTTTAATAAAAAAGGAAAGTCATGAAGCTTCTCAGCAACTTCTGTTGGATAGTGTATTTGTTTAAATAAAAAGTATATTAGAATTTTTTTACATTTTTATTACAGGAAAGATATGAGGGATTTAACAGTAGTAGTAAGCTGAAGTTCTTGAAGTTAGAGTAATTATATAGTAAAAGTATAAATGTCGAGAATTGGCTCCCTCTTTAATTTAAGGGATGCTTTTTTAATGGTTCAAGTGAAAATTAGTGTGTATTACTACACCAGTTTCACAACAATTGATGTTTGCTTCTAGCTTGCCAAAGTTTAGTAGTTTTGAGAAACGTCACATGGAAATTTGACATAAGATTTTGGTAACTTGACTTATTAGAACGTTTTAAAATTACATTTAAAACTACAGAGAAAATTACAAGTATTTTACAAGTATTTGTTGGGGTTTTTGCATAAGAGGTTAATTTTATTGATAGGTGTGTTAAAAGATCAAAGCTATTATGGATTTCTAGAATAATTGATATAAAAAAGAATACAATGAAATATGTTGCTTTTTCTTCTATGTTTCTTCTGAGTTTCTTCACATTCTTTTCTTCTCATTTCTAATTAATCTTGTATTTTTGTTATATACTCCTGTTGGTTTGAAAAATGCTCACTGGAATTTATTCATCTTTTCTTTTTTGTAATTCAGAGTTCATCTTTTTTGTAGGTGACTTGCTTGTGGGAAGGCTTTCTTCCACTTGAGAACTCTTAGAGAATACCACGTGTTCCATAAGTGAGCTCAGCTTGCTAGTCATTGAGAAATTTTATGTGGATGGGACTACAAATAAAGAAACTGATTCCACAGGCCACTCAGAAAAATCACTCTGCTTGTATAGTTGTTCCCATTTTCACACATAGGGGCACATCCAAATACAGATTGTTTATGTTTTTTACCTTTGATAATAGTCAACAGGCATCTTCCCTTTTCTAGCTGCCAGAAGGCAATTTTTTGGATGAGTTGGTAAATAACCTTTTGCTTATTACTCCTCTGTTCCTGTCCATTGCCCCATATATCTGCTAGAAATAGTTTCCTGACCTTCCCTCCCTTCCATATTCATGCACACATATGAATGAAGAATACATTTTCTCACCTCTTCATACCTCTCTTCAGTTTACACTATACATAAATACATTCCTCAGAACTTTAATCTGATGATATGGCATAAACCAGAGAGATTTATTGACAAATAGAAACTCTGAGATGCTCTTGTGAGTTAAAAAAAATACTTATTCCCCTTATTATAGTAAAAGGTAGTAATCTTGAACATCTCATTTCCAAACATGTGAGTGGTTTGAACTACTGATATTTACTCTATCAGTGTTCATATCAATTGCAACAGTTAATCCAGTGCAGGAACTTTGATGTGTGTGCAGTCTTATTTTGAACATGGCACTTCCTCCCTCACCCTAGTCTTTTAAAATCTACATTATTTACTGAGTGTACATTTCTAGTTTTTATTATTGCTTTTCATTGGTTTTTAATTTAACGTGCTAGTTTCCAAGATGTAATCTTACAGATTTGACTATTTTGTCACTGGACCAACATACCTGGTGAAGGAATAAATCCATTAAGTAGATTTTTTTTTTTTTTTTGATGAAAAGCTTTTGCGAAAGAGAAGGTGTTTTAAAGTTTTATGTTTGAAATTAAGTAACAGAGTTTTCCAGGCATATATTTACTTGAGTACTTTTGAGGAGATAGTACTAACTACAAGTATTTTATTAGTGATTGGGTTGCTGTCTTAAAATCTGCATACAATTTTATTTGTAGTCATTCAAGTGTAAAATAAATTGGAATGAGAAGTCTTGAGTAAATATGATTTAAACTTTGCAAATAGACTGACAAATTAGACCCTAAGGAAATATTTGTAAATAAGATGTTGACTTTTTTTAATTACACTTTAGTAAATTTAGTATTTCTTTGGGAAAGGAAAATGGGAGATCAACAAAAAGATTGAGGTGGTTCAGGTTAATACACTAAATACTGTCTTAAGATTTTCATTCCATTAGCTAATACAAGATTCTGTATTGACTTATTTTTTAGATTATTTATGTTAAAGAGTCCGATAATACATTAATACATCTTAATATTATCCTAACTGTGAAAGGGCTAGAGGTTGTGTATGCAGCTAGTTTGCAATTATCATTACTTATTAATCCTACATTATTAATTACCACAGAGTTTATATATTTTTCTAGCCATATTCATTAGAAATGGTCAGTTGTTGAGACTCTTTGAATTTATTTTATTTGAAATAATATTGTGATAGTTGAAAATTTAGTTCATAAAAGTATGTGTAACCACTTTTGCAGTGAACATTACAAAATCTGTTTAACATTACACACTTAGCAGACTACTTTACTGTAAACGGGGTGGGATGTGCAAAATATTACTGACCCTTTTGGAAAAGGAACACTCTACAGATCGCTTTCCATAGATAGCTGACCAATGTGAGCTTTGTAGGCTGCATTCCAGGAACTCTTATGAATGGTTGCAATTGTGAACTGTCAACTGAACTGAAAAGACTGTTGAAAACCTGATTGTAAGGATGGATCCTTTAGTGGCACACATCTCTATATCTTGTTAATAGTTTTATTTGTGTAGTTTGCTAATGACTACTGATAAAGTATTATAAATAGTTAATGTTAACTGGTGTGTACTATAAATACAAATATTCTTGTACATACCTATATACACACATATATATACACACAGATTTGTTACATATATAATTTAATACATTTATGCTTTTGCTTTTTTTTTTTTTTTTAATTTGTGGAGGGTTGTGGTTTTTTTGTGTGTGTGGTTTTGTTTTGTTTACTTTTTCTTGACATATGAGCAAGGGGATTATGTAAATGTATACCAGAAGGCAAAACTATCACCCATTGATTGCCCTTAGAGCTCTGTTTTCATGAGTCTAACTACATTTAAGTTTTTAAAAGTGGATGTTCCTTACTTGAATCTTTATTTTTTGGGAACTTCCATTTCTTTATCTGTTGAATTGTGGAGTTAGCTTTGCTCTTCCAGCTTTAGAGTTGATGTATAAATCATTCATTAGATACCTTATGTTGCTAAACCTTTGAAAGAGTATTCTTACTGAGGAGTTAGTAAAGTATGAAACATGTCTATATGATATTGTTTAGTACAGAACTTATATTCATGGGTTCATCAGGAGTACCACACCAATTACTAAAATATATGTTAGTCATAAACTTGGCTCTAAGTGAAGGAAATCACAACTTTCCGAAAAAGCTGGAATTTTCCAAAGTACCTGAAATTTCCAGAACAAAGAGCTTTATCAGTAGAAGTGTGACCCTTTTTTTATTAAAAAAAAAAAAAGAAAGAAAAGAATTATTTATTTAATTTTATTTAGTCATTCATTTATTTTTTAATTTGACCAGAGTGAGACAGAGAGAGAGAGAGAAAGAGAAAGTGAGAAAGCAAGCCGCTGGGTCCGAGATTTCGTGGTTGGCCAGGTGGGAGTGTCCAGCACCTTAACCACCACGCCACCTGCTGGTCTCAAAGTGTGACCTTTTAAAATGTAGTTACACATATTGTTTTAAGATTTATGTGATCTAAATTATATCAGCCAAAAAAATTTTGGTTAATTTTTTTTAAGAATAAAAGGGCCTGTATGTGAATGAATAATACAGATTCGAAGTAACTATTTAATAAAGACTTGTTTTTTCCCTGGTGAGAGCAGGAAGGTATGAGATCACAAATCCTGTAGTAAATAATCTTTATGAGAAGTCATTTTATACAAGATTGGTAGTAGGGGTATTTCTTATTTCCTGAAAATAAATATAATACCAATCTATTTTGATAGCACTAGTTTGAAATAGTAAAATATGCTAGTGGATTTGTAATCTGGAATGTGCTAATTTAGAATGGAATCTGTTTCTCTGCATCAGAAGTGACATGAAGCAATCTTGCTCTTCAGTGTCCTCTGGTTATAAAGGGCATCCCCATCAACCAGATAGTAAAGAAACCAAAATGAATCACTTTCCTAATAGAGAAGTGATTTTAGGCGAAGATAAAAGTATTTTGACTTTCTTAAAGTGGCAGGAGTTATGGGGTTAGGAGAGTATGGAGTGATAGCAGAAAACCAAGATGGAAGAAAATACTGTGGAATGATATAAAATATAGCTGAGAAAGAATAAGACCACTTATTAATAGTGATTAAGAGTGGGAAAACTCCTTCTTTGAATAATTGTTTAAGCCCAATGTGTATTTCCTTTTGTGAAGGAATACTGTTAATTAATTGTATTTACTCTTTAAATACTTAAGTATGAAGGAGGAAAGGCTTTACAAAAGCAAATCTGTCTGGTTAAATGTTGCCTGAATGATGTTTTCTAACTTATTCCTTATTAATGGTTAGAGCAGATTTGTTAATAAACCTTAATAGTTGACAGTATTTAAG